GTTTCAGCCAGAATAAAAAGGAGACAATTTTCAATTATTTATCAATAGAAAATTCAGTATAATATAATTCTGTGAACATTTTCCTAGCATCTATAACAGAGTATGCTAAAGTCGGAACTTAGCTGGATGAAAGAATAATTTGATCCAGGCCCTCTTAAGCAAACACTACACACTATGCCAAAGCTATTCTATATTTGTGGGATGTGCACAATAATTTGTCCCTGATGAACAGATTTCATTGACCTTGCGCTGGAAGTGAACCCATGTCTGGAGAAAATAACTGCATTAACTAATTTCACAGTACTCCACACAAGGATGTTTCCTCACTTAAGGCAAAGTATACAATACACATGCATTAAAAAGAAAACAAAAAAAAAATCCTTCAGGTTTCAAAAAAAAAATTAAATCAGATGGGCTCTGGCATTAGTTACTTAAATTTGTCTCAGCTAAAACAGTTAAACACATGGATATGACATTCTGCAATATCTTTATCTTTAGTTTGTCAAGGTTTTTAAATCCCTCTTGAGCTAGAGTGCCATTTTTAGCTTGGCTAGGTCAGAATGACACTGAACGATATGAGTGATGACACACTAGACAGCTATCTGGACAGAGATGTCATCAGCAAGCCAGCTGTGCTAACACCTGTATGTCCTGCACAACTGATCCCTGGGAACACAGATCAAGAAAATCAAGTTATTGGGGACCTAAACAAAGAAGATGCTTAAAGTATTTGCAAAATAGCTCCTTAAACAACAAATGGGATTATTCAAAGGAAAGGGAGAAAATAATCTTTCAATGCAATCAGTAGGAGGCTATTAAGATAAAACAAGTGTTACAAATATTTTTTCCATGGGATAATCTTAAGAATTAACAACAAAATATGCTTTCAAAATGTTGGAAAATGTTTGGTGTTTTCCTGTTGGTTTCTGTACCTACTGGTCTGTTTCACTTGTGGCAGATGCCAGGTTGGTAGGCAAAGCCAAGAATAGGTTCAATCACCTAAGAACAGCTTCCAAAATCTACCACTTTCCTGCCAGGATTGTTTGAACACTGCATTTGTATTTCCAGCCCAAGTAAAAACAAGGTCATTTTTTTAAAAAAAAAAAAAAAAAAAGAAGGAAGGTACATTAAAAGGCATACCCAATTACAAGGGCACTAAGCTAACATGCTATACCAATAAACAATGAATAACAATAAGTACATCTTTGCATAATCCCAAATAAAGTTCCCTGGCCCTTTAAATTAAAACATTTTAATTTACTGAAAAATTTGATTGATTTGGATGTTCTGATCTATCTGTATTCACTATGGATAATTCAAGTCCTCAACACTGCTTCAAGGTTCAATACACCGCTAAAGATACTAGTGGCACAAAATGAATACTAAATTGACACAACGGTGCTTCCATGCTGAGCACCAAATAACATGTCTCTTGATACAGCCATTTCTACAGTACTGCATTAAGATAAACAAACCTGAATTATGTGGTGTGAAAATCAGCAGAATTCTCAAAATATTCTCTGCTAGAGAACAGGAATCCTTGGGTTTTTAAATGAGTTGTTATACCTGATTCTTCAGATAAAACAACAAATCCCCGTCTTAAGTAGACACGAGGCTTTACTAAGAAAGACAAACACGTGTGTCATATTCTTCTCCATGTTTTGATATCTGAATGGGAAGTGCCTCCTGATTTCAGACTGTGGCAAGTAACTTTTTAAAAGATGGACAAATAAAAAGTCTCTTTGGGAAAGTAGATCCAATGTAATGTGGGGATCACTGTTCATGAATCTATTTCCACCATTTCTACGCACAAGTAAGGTGGTTCCCAACATAGATAATATCCAACACATACCTCCACTTTCCTTTCCATACTTTCCTTCTCTTAGCGATACACTACAAGATGTTATGTTAGGAAAAACGACAGGGCCCCTGGGCAAAACAGATGTTGGTTCCAGCAGATATTCCCAATTACGTCAACAGTGAGAGCTGATACAGAACCTCAGTTTGCTGTATAGACCATAAAACCATTAAGATTTGGTAGAAATTACATACATCCTGGTTACGTTTAAAAGACTAGTGCTGTTCTTCAATCTAGTCAGTTGCTTGTTGAATGCTGATCAACTTTTCTAAGATTATGTACGAAAGAGTAGGTCTATTGGTTTCAATGAAATGTCCTTCCAGTTAGTCACACTTTTAACAACCACAAAGAGCAAGCGTCTGAAATCCATAATACGATCTGAAGGGCAAACCTCAACATCAGGAATTTGGAATGCCTTTCTTTAGGAGAGAATTGAAATTTGCTCGCTGTCAGTATATTTGAATAGGAAATTGCTTGGATAGAATGAAAAAAGGGATGGGACTTAAAAAAATAGTCTTCTTGGGAAGAGGAGTCTGTTGATTTGTTTATATTAGGTTGATTTAGGCTTTGCTTTTAGATAGTATACTAGAAGTTTCAATGATGCTCTACTGTTTATATGTGTTTACTATTTGTATTTATTATTATAGAGAGACTGTGAGTTCAAGTCCTGCCCTAGCAATGAAAGCCAGCTGGGTGACCTTGGGCCAGTTACTCTCTCAGCCCAATCCACTTCATAGGGTTGGTGTTGTGGAAACAACAAGAGTTCATCTCCTTGAGTTATTTGTAAAAATAATAAAGATGGAATACAAACAAAATAAGGCTTATTATCAATATTTAAATTATTGTGTTTATTTTATATTATGTTTTGCTACATTTTAATGTATTGTTACCCTCCCACACAAGTCTCCAGGTTGAGATGGGGGGGCCATATAAATCATTTCAATAAACAAAGAAACAACTGAATAATTATTTTTCCATTATTTATATAAGATGGATGGAAAACAGGCAAGGCAAGGCAAGATGTGAAATGCCTCATGTGTAGAGATGGCAATTATCCCCAAGTTGAATTATGCTAAGTGGGTGGAAACACTTTGGACTCAATGGATAAAATTTGGTATATTAGTAGACAGTTTCTGAAATTGGAAGGTGCTGGCAATGGCAAATAATCAACTCTTTCACTCTCTAAAACAGCATATTTTATGTAACAGATATAATGTGTAGCCAAAATCCAGAAACAAATATAAAACATAAGTTCTTAATTGCAAGACTAAGGAATTATTTTCTGAAGGACCAATGTTATTATTTCTCACTATATCTGTTTGCAGTACCATATTTCTGATCAAAGGATAGATGATAGACAGACAGACAGACACACACACACACACAGAGATATATATATATATATATATATATATATATATATATATATATAGAGAGAGAGAGAGAGAGAGAGAGAGAGAGAGAGAGAGAGAGAGAGAGAGAGAGAGAGAGAGAGAGAGAGAGAGAGAGAGAGAGAGAGAGAGAGAGAAGATGCATCAGCAATAAACTAAGCTGTAGAGAAGAAACTGCATGAAGGGTTTTCAACAACGTAACTCAGCCTAGTAACCACCAGACTACTGGAACTTCAGCTCCCAGAATCCATAGCCAGCATGATTATTTGATTGGGTACTAGGAATTCAGAGGGTGGTAAATTGAAGGCTAGATTAGAACCAGGGAAAGAAGGAAAGGTCGCCAAATCCGAAGAGAATGAGAAACTCATCCTCAGCTGAACAGCTTGGCAAAACAGATTAATGTTCAAAATATAAGCTACTGTGTTAAATAAGCATTGTAAGGCTCTGCTAAGCTTGCTAAGACATTTTAAATAGTTATTTGAGCTCCCCAAATTCTAGTACAGCTCATCTTAGAAGGCAAATAATTAAACAATTGTTCTGAGTTTATTTCTCAAGTGTACCTTCTTAATGTTCTCATTTGGCTTTCCATTTACATGTGATACAGAATGGAGCATGTACCAATGCACACATGCACAGGGACATGGCAGATTGGCTACTCTGGTTCCCTCAAGGTGCAGCCCCTAAACCCTTCCACCACAATCTCTGCGACAGCTGAGGCGGGGGGGGGGGGAGGGGAGGTGTTGCATCGTATCTCTTTGTGTGTGTGCACATGCAAACTCCTTTATTGGAAAGAAGCACAAATTCTTTTCCAAACACTAAGACTGAAAGTAATTTGCCCATTTCCACTGGTGATATGAGGAAACTGACAGCAACATTAGAGATCGAAAACCCAGCGAACTGTTGTCATTCTCAACATCACAGGCTGTATTTATTTAACTTAAAGGGTGGAGTCATTTAAAAGAACTTCCATTTGGAAAATATCTGTTGTATACTCATATTTTCTGTCTTTGTGTTTGTGTGTGAGAATGGGGGGGGGAGAGAAAAAAGAAGCAACATGGTCAAAATATCAGTGTCAGCTATTGCTGCAGATTAGATTAATTCATTCTTTTGCTTTTGGTAACTTCACTAGGTCAGTGTTTTTCAATATACAAATAAAAGCCTGTGTGGGCAACATTTGTATCATATAGTTCCCTTCCCTTCTGTTCCATTACATTCATTCATTCATTTTTGTTTTTAATATGGCTGGGAATATTTAAATGATTTACCAAAGCATACCAAATCTGCACTGTGATGGTTTTTTTTAAAAATGAAACATTGTCTATAATCTCTCTCTCTCTCTCTCTCTCTCTCTCTCTCTCTCTCTCTCTCTCTCTCTCTCACACACACACACACACACACACACACACACACACACACACACACTTCTTGCAAACAATCTGGAAAATCAGGCCAGAAAAGTAACTGACTAAAATATTAATGCATAGTATTATTTTGATTTTTTTTGTACAGTACAACAGTAAGAGAGCATTATCACAAAAATTTAGAAAGATTATATTTTCTAAATTTTTAATTGTAGAAACAGACCTATATTTGCTAGCACATGATAGTGAGAACTTTTGTCCGTATATTTTGACTGATTATTATTTTACAATTCTATTTCTCAAGTTCCATCAGCATTTTCTAGCAGAAAAAGCACAATTTCTTGAAATACAGCTGTAGATGGTAAAGCATTATCAAAAAATATTACTTACATTTTGAAAGATAGATTCCACTGATTTCATATGACTAACAATTAATTCTTTGTCTCTGTTGAATGAATAAAAAGATTGCATTCTTACTGCTGTTTTACTTTTAAAGTTTTATTTTGTTGCTTTTACTCTTGTATTGTAATCTATTTTTATAGCGAATGTTTTTGTTAGTTACCTATCATTTGCATTATAAATTTAATTTTTAATTGTATGATATTTCTTTGAACAGGAAGCTGAAGAGCTTATAACATGTATATATCTGACATTCATCATTACCTTTGCCCCAAGGTCTGTTGTCTTCAGATGTCAGTGTGATATACAAAAATGTTTAGCTGAGTTAACTTATAAAGTAACTAGCACAAGCAATACTTTCCATTCCTTTTCTGCTGCTTTAGAGTCAACTCTATAATGTTTGTGGTATACAGTTGACTGATAAAAGTTCTCCATGCAAAGGACAATGTCTAGTCTGTTTGCCAAGGATATCAGAGGTAGCAATGGAAGGGATGGGTGTCTTTCCACATTTTGTTACCAAACTTCTGCACATGCTTCCAGAAGTTCAGAAAATGATTCTCATGGTTGAAAAAAAATTCTAGAATTCTCTACAAGTACAAATGAATGAGAATTGTTGAGGATAAAAATACTAATGTTTTATCATCACAATCCATGAATTAAATGCCTAAGAAAAGAACCTGACAGATACATGAAGTGACTATAGCTTCAATTTTTTGGGACCCCTGAAAGAACTGAAGTAGCCAGGAGACAGCAAGATCAAAACAATCCATTTTGTTCAGATGAAGAAACCTTTCTAACTTGGAATGTTGTTTACTCGTAGGATGTTTGGCAGAACACAGTTTGAAATGCACCTGAAAATCTCTGGAAACTGTGTAATGTCTTTTGGGTACTAGTATATGGGTACATCTACAGTATGTAACACCTAGTTTTCTACATGGTCTGTGATTCAAAATGATGGGCTAATGATGATTACCTCATGGAGTTTTCATATGCGCTAGTTTTTAGCAGTATGCCTTCTTATCCATTTAAATCTGAAGAAACGCTTGACACAAGGAGCGTATCTAAAAGGCTATTTTATCTGTTTAAGTGTAGCTAAAAAGTTGCTGGTTTTGTCATGCGTGAAAGCTCTGCTAGGTATATCCTCTGGTATATGCTGTTTTGATTACCCTACAACAGGGATGGGAAACTTTGGCTCTTTTATTACTTGTGAACTTCAACTCCCAGAATTCAAGTCATAAAAGAGCCAAGGTTCCCCACCCCTGCCCTACAAGAATGATGGGTTCCTGGGTTTTCTATGCATTTACTACTTGCCAATTCTGAGCTTTTAGTTAAACGAGAGACAGAAATAACCGTACTTGTGCACTGTTACAACCTCTGAGCCAATGCGTGCTCGTAGGCACATGAGTATTTTGACACAGGTGCTGTGCTGTTCAACTATCATAGACCGTCCTATACCAATGTCTCTTCCCCTCAAAACCACTTTGACCTTTGGTGAGATGGTTTGCTCAATCCAGGTGGTAGATCCTAGGGGTAAAACTCAAGACAAGTTCATACTTCTGTTGATCACATTGAAGAAATGATTGAAAAGAACCATTAATATGTTGAACTAAGTTCTTTTTTCTTCAAGAGGATCTTTTACTACCGTTTCAAAGACAGGCAGCTGTACTTTTGTTTTCCAGCGCCCGCATTATCCAGGACTAAAAATCCTTTGCATGAAAGTAAGAATTGATCTTTTGTCTGTTTCAAGTGATCTCCCCAGGGACCCCCATGCTCACTTGGCTGCCATGCGGAGGGCACTCTCCGCATCGTGGATGCTCTGTTCCAGTCGACGCTTGTCCTGCTCCAGCTGGGTAAGATGTCTATTGAGCTGACGCAGAGATTGATCTTTTCTCCTCAGCTCCATCTTTGCCTCGGAGAGACTCTGAGAGCAGACAGAAAACAGAGTTACTTGTCAGCTCTGATAATTAACTTCAATTTATGCCATAGGCTATTAAACAAAGAGGAATAGAGACTGATGGTGAAATAGATTGGGGCTATTTTCAAAGAAAAACAGCAGTTATTTCCTCTTAAAACATTCAGAATATTGCAGATTTAATTGCTTTATAACAAAAAAAAAAAAGAACTGTCCTGATCTGTACAGTCACTTACGATAAAGGCACTCCATAAAAAAAGTATTATCTTAGGGTTCATTAATGTGAATTAAAAGAATTATGCTGGATTACACCAAAGGCCTGAATAGTCCAAGATTTTGGTCCAAGCACAATAGCTAGATTTTATGGGAAGCCTACATGATCCTTAGGAGAAAAAAATACTCTCCCAAAGCAAAGAACTTGGAGCAACTGGAGCCATAGGTGGAAAGACAAAGAAAATTGCTGCTTGGAAAAGCAGCGAATAAAAGAAATAATTGAAAAAAAAAACTACCTAGCCTACAGCTCTTTTAACTGTTCAGTAAAGTTCCAATTATAAACATGATGATATACAATTTTTTTTTGTGTGATTTTTCAAAATGGATTGCAGGTTCTCTTCCTTCAAGGTTGCTCCAGGATAGGCTCTAACAGTCAATGCTTCAACTAGAAAATTAGTTCAGATGGATAAAATGCAAACTATTTCCCAAAGGAACAACTAAACAAATTTGCATGCAAAATGCAAACAAGTCTTTTATATGAATTGCTGTAAGGTTATATTTTTCAAAGGCTTCTAAACCGCTGTGGCACAATTTCAACTCAAAGCTTCTTTTTATTTGGCTTTCTCAATTGTTGGACGGTTTGACAATTGTTACAGACATTCTTCTACTGTCATCACCATTTTTGCTTCTTGGTAAAATGCTTTCTTCTGTATTGCATTTAATACTTATTTGCATGTAGAGCTAATTTCTAAAGATACTCTTTGATAAATGAATTTTATTTTGACTACTATGATTATTACTAAAGGTTTTCTGTTGCAGGAATAAATTACTATACACTTTGCTGACAAATTAAAAAGCTACTGTATACGTTTCATAATGGAGCCAGAAATTATACATGCTACCAACAATGTGTGAACAGTTGGCACTGTACTGAATGCCTAGCAAATCTATACAATGCGTGATATTTTTAGTATGACATGTCTGTGTTATTATAATACGCTATATACTTTCCTTAGACATTGTATATAATACCTAGGCATTATGCAGAATGACAGGAACTATTTTGGCAAAATATGAAAAGAGAATCATGAAAAGGCTAACCCTAACCCTTTATTGAAAAGACACATATGAAAATGAAAGAAGAAATGCAAAGAGAGAAAAAGACTACTATGACCTATTTGTTGCAAGAAGAAAAGCTAGAATGGCATTTTAGCAGGAGTATTTTATACTTTGCCGGTTTGCCTTTTGCCACTGCATAGAATGCTTAGGAAATGTGTGAAATATTCAGCGTTTCATACTTGGATGTCCCATTTTTGGCATTCTATAGATTTGCCAAGCATTCCATAAAATGCCTAATTTCACACACCGACAACAACATATATATCTTTATGACACTGTGCAACTCCTTCCAACAACTTTTTTCTGAGAATCTGAAAAGCCAGGTAGCAAAAAGAAATTTGAAATATTAATTTCCAGAAAGACTGAGCATGCATACATTTCCAAAATTTAACAGATCCATAGAAGCTCAAAAGCCATATGGAGAATTATTTCAGATACCTGGGAAGCAGAGGACCCTTCCCATTTTGCATTTGAAAGAAGAGTACTTTATCTGAGAGGATACTGTACCTCCAGAGTCACAAGTAAAGAACCATAACCTATGATCTGATTCAAGATTTTTTCCTTATATGAATCATTACTCTGAAATACTTCAGTAGAGTACAATATATAGAAATTTCAAATCTGATCTAGGGTACACAATAGGATCTTCTGACATTTTAAAAACTGTTTTTTTCCCCCCTCTTCCTTCCTGGCATTCTCTCGCAGGTGCACATGGAGCAGGAAGTCTTCCTGCAGACTTAGGAGTAAGAAGGATTATTAGTTGGGGCTGGGTACCACTGGCATGCCAATGATAACCAGCTTTCCTTCTTTTTGTTCTAAAAGTCAGATGAGACATTATGCACAGTGGTGGGATTCAGCCAGTTTGCACCAGTTCAGCAGAATCGGTAGCTAATTTTTTTGTTGCCCAGGCCCAGAATGGACTTCCGGAAGTGACATCCACAAGAGAACTGGTTGTTCACATATTTGAATCCCACCACTGATTATGCAGGTATTGGATTAGTCTTTGGGTGGGCTGAAGAAAGGGCCAATATACTGAAAATGAATCCTGATAAGAAAGAAGTGCTTTGAATTGGTACCCTGAAAATCCAGGAACAGGTTGTGTCTCTTTACACCAGTGGTTCTCAACCTTTTTAATGCCGCGACCCCCAACCGGTCGTAAGTCGAGGGCTACTCAACCGGTCGTAAGTCAAGGACTACTCAACTGGTGCAGCACCGTTTGCAGAATGGGACTTTTGGCGGGCTCAGCAGAGCAGAGACAGCCTGGACAATTCCTATTGGCTTTTGAAAGCCAATAGAATTAAACTCTATTCAAGAGAGTCTATTCTATTGGCTTTCAAAAGCCAATAGAATAAAAGGGAGTAGCACAGCTAAGGAAAAGGGGGCAAAAAATGGCGGACTGCATTGTTTGGCGACCCCCGTGAAATGGTCATTCGACCCCAAATGGGGTCCCGACCCACAGGTTGAGAACCACTGCTTTACACTCATACAGATGCATAGCCTTGGTGTTTGACGTTATGACAATAGTGAAGAAAGTGACTTACTTAGAACCAATACGCATGCTTACATGCTCTGATGGTTAGAATGCAGTACACTGCAGGCTACTTCTGTTGACTCCTGGATGCCAGCAGCTCAGCATTTTGAGTCTCACCGGCTCAAGGTTGAGTCGGCCTTCCATCCTTCCGAGGTTGGTAAAATGAGGACCCAGATTGTTGGGGGCAATAGGCTGACTCTGTAAACCGCTCAGAGAGGGCTTTAAAGCACTGTGAAGCGGTATATAAGTAAGTGCTATTGCTATTACAACCATCACAGCATCTCTACAGTCATGTGATCAGAATTCAGGTGCTTGGCAATAGGCATGTATTTACAACAGTTGTTGGAGTCCTGGGGTCACATTATCGCCATTTGCTACCTTCCCAGGAATTTCCAACAAAGTCAATGGAGGAAGTCAGATTCACGTAATGGCCATTTGAGTCACTAAACAAATGCAGCAAAAGAGGTTGTAAAATAATGTGCAACTTACTTAATGACTGCGTCAATAAGTGACAGACTGTTCCAGCCCCAACTGTGGTCACGAGTTGAGAACTACGTGTAGAGGCCATCATTCGAGTTGAGAAGCTATCTCTATGTAGGTCCAGGTCAAGGACTTACTATGTCTCTAAAACGGCTCTCTTAAGTCCCAGCAACAAGAATTGGAGGGACAAACCACAATAATTTAAATCTGCAGTTATACCTTTCTTTCTAAGAATAAATGAAATTTAACTGCTAGGACTAACTAGGTCTAAAATCCTTTCAAAAAGGATAATTTTATCCAGGATTTTAATGAAAAAGCTCTCATATGACCTTTTATGGAGGGAAGACCGGACTCCAAATGCAAAAGAGAATTTGAGACACACATCAGGAGACGTATGGCACGGCTCTTAAGAATTAGGATTATTCTACTCCCCTCTTGTTTCATTGCCACTATAAGTGCAGTGAAAATAAAGTACAAACTCAACATCTTATCCCTGACTTATTATTGGGACAACGTATTGCCACTGAATTATAGAATTAGAAATCTTTCCACCTTGGACTTCTTTGTTTCTTTCCAAAAGTGGGGAGGGAAAAAAATACCTATTTAAAATCCTTGACTTTTCAATATAGAAACCTTTTTTTTGCGTTGCTGAGCAAAAACTCGCTTTTAGACAGAGCTGGAATGGTGCTGCTGATACAGGTAGTCCTTGACTTGCAACCACTGTTGGTACCAGAATTTCCATTGGTAAGCAAGGCTGTTGTTAAGTGCCCTGTGCCCAATTTCTTTTGCAATTGTTCTTACATGAATGACTGCAGTTAAATGAATCACACAGTTCTTAAACAAATCCAGCTTCCCCCATTGACTTTGCTTGTCAAAAAGCCAGTTGGGAAGGTTGCAAATGGAGGCCGAAAACATGGTAAATACAATAGAATTATCAAGTGCTCAAATTTTCATCATTTGATTCTGGGATTGCTGCGATGGTTGTTAAGTGCAAGGATCAGTTTTAAGTCACGTTTCAGTGGCATTGTAACTTGGAACAGTTACTAAATGAATGGTTGCAAGTCAAGGACTACCTGTAAAAATGGACAATTAAAGGAGCAACCTTGCATCCTTGCTTAGCTACTTTTAAGGTAAATATTGAAGCCAACATCTCCTAAAGTGAAGCACTTAACCCGCCTATAAGTGCTTAAGTCCCGGGTCATCATTAATCAGAGAAGACAGCTATCAGTAATTGTGTCTCAATTTAGCACGCTTGACAAGTTTCTTCTGACAAGATACAAAATAATCAGATATTTATTTCCATCACTGGTCTTCTATGAAGTGTTAATTGCTTTTGAAAACAAGACACCAACATAACTGTTACAAGACCATCAAGTGAAAACCTAAGACCAACTAGAGCAGGCACGTCCAACCCACGGCACATGGGTCACATACACCCAGGGATAGCTAGCAAAGTGGCTCCACAAGATCATAAACTTTTTAACATTATGTGACTGATATACATTAACTATATTATATATATATTATATGCAGCCCAAAACAATTCCTCTTCACTCAGTGTGGCCCAGGCAAGCCAAAAGGCAAGCCCAGAACACCCATGTGTGATATAAACAGACAGAATAATTTTCTGGCCTCAGATTCTTTCTGGTCACACATACTACTGCAT